ACACTGGATCTGTCTCGCGCGGACATCATCGCTGGTCAGGTACAGCTTGCTCAGTTGCTGGCGGCACGGTTTCGAGCGCTAGGTGGTAGCCATGGTGGCGGAGTGTCTGCCTTGGATGAGGCGTTTCAGCTCACGATGGATTTGATAAACGGTGCGCTGGACTGTGGCAACCCCCATGAGATTGCCTATGTTGCCCGTGGCACAAAGATCCTCTCAACAGGACTGAAACCCCACGAAAAATACCTCGCGTATCTGGACGGGGTCATTAAGCTCCTCCATATAGCACTGGAGTTGTGCAAAGACGAAGATGGCAGTGACAACCAACAGACAGACCACGTTCGCATCATCAGCTCCCTTCAGTTTTTACACGCCATACGCTACGAGAGAAACTCAGACCCGGCGGATCTGGATCAGCAGATTTCCTTTGCCACTGAGATGATCGACCAGAAATCCCACTCGACACTGGAAGACCAAGCCGACGCGAGAAGTCGACTTGCTACAGGACTGATGCTACGCTATCATCAAAATGGGGGTTTTCACTTGGATGACATTAAAAGAGCCGTGAGCGAGGTGGAGATGGTACTCCACCTGCTACCAACGAACAACCCCGAAAGATGGTATCACATGAGAACCCTGGCCCTTTGCTTAAAGTTAAGATATTTGGGCAGCAGCTCTAGTTGTGCGGATTTGGATAGGGCACTGCAGCTTTTACAAGACTTTCTCGACGGTGCTCCGGATTGTGGTAGTCACGGTGAGGACGACTTCCCGTTCATACCTAGACGCGGGGTTATCGTGATGATGATGGCCGAACTCTTCTCCATCCGGAGCAAATGGGCGTGGGAGAACGACTTGAAGCAGGGTGATTACAAGGCGGATCTAGATCGGTGCTTGGAGTATGCGCAAAAGGCCGTCGAAATGAATGAGCCTGATAGCATCAGAAACGCCATCGACACACTGTCCGAGGCGTACGCCACAAGGTACCGGCAGTCTAGCCAGCGTGATGGCGCCGGAGACCCCAATGACATCGATCTGGCAATCAAGTACCGCATTGCAGCAGCAGAACAGGCTAGAAAAGACGGAGTTGGATTGTCTCACATCCTTCGGCAACTGGCTATTCTGTACTCGCTGAAACGGACGTTGTATGGGACGCAGGATGGTTCTACGTCCCCGTCCTCTGCTTCTCTCGCAAGAAGGTTCCTCGAAATGGCACTTGAGGCCTATAGCCAGTGTTCCAAGTCCCCCGACTGCTCTACCTACCTGCAGATCCAGACACTGGTAGAATCCACCCCAATTCATGTCGCATTAGGCCAGTGGGCCGAGGCAGTCGACACCTGGGAACAAGCACTGGATGCGATGCCGAACCTGAACATGAGGTCTGCATCCTTTGCCGACCAGGAATTCCAAATCAAAGAGTACGCGGGTCAGTCTGCAAGGGTTGTTTCGGCCAGCATCCTGTCCGGTAGACGGTCGCCTGCAGATTCCCTCCGGCTGCTGGAGCGAGGACGTGGCATGATAGCCAGCTTTTTACAGATACGACGAGCTGATATATCAGCCCTGGATCCACTTCAGTCATCGGCTTTCACAGAAGCGCTATCCCGGTGGGACGAGATGCGGAGACAAGTCCAAGATGCTGGCGCCGGCTTCGAAGGAGGAGGGCAGCAGAAGCAGCAACAGCAGTCCGAAACTGGCATATGGGCATCACAGTCCCAAAAGTTCCGCAGGGCAGAATATGAACTTAGGAGCGTCATCCAAGATATCCAAACCGACCCTCGAACCAGCGACCTTCTTGGCCCTCCCTCGATTGACACGGTGAGGAGTCTGCTCGGAAGCGACACGATAGTAGTATTCAACGTGAGCACGCTCCGGTGTGACGCCTTTTTGATCAGCAACAGCCCTGCGACGCCCGGTGTCAGCTTGCTTGAACTCAAGCAGGTAACGGCTGTTGGCATCATGATCTGGGTTGACCGTCTCCGAGCCACACGCCCGCTTATCGACTCTCAGATGCTGGAATGGCTCTGGACCGACATCACCCGCCCGATTCTCGACTTTTTGGGGTTCAAAGTTGACGGAGCCGCCATACCCTCTACTACTAGACCCGTTGCCAGTCACAGCTCGTATAATGACAGCGCCCCCCTGCCACGGATAATATGGATCCCTACGGGCCCGATATGTCACCTCCCCCTCCATGCAGCAGGGATTCATATCTCACGAGGATCGAGTGTCATGGATCATGTCATATCCTCTTACAGTCCATCTCTCAAGGAATTTGTCCTGGGCAGGAAACAGCTACTTTCATCGCCGCCACCAGCGTTCAGAGCTAGTAGTACTTCTGCACTCGAGCCGAGCTCCATCTCGAGTGAAGCCGCCGCACCTACATGTTCCACAGCACCTAGTACCGTCCAGAAGGCTCTCCTAATCGGCGCAAGCAACCCATCTTCTCAACCAGGGCGACCCCATACCCTTCAATCACTCCCTTTCGTAAGCACCGAGATCGACCAAGTATCCGCGATATGCCACGCTCTCAACCTCAACCCCGTCTCTCTCCAGGACCCAACCCGCGAATCCGTCCTGGACAGCTTACCCGCGACGACAATCTTCCACTTTGCCGGGCACGGACTCGCCGACGCCCGCGAGCCCTCCCGCAGCGCTCTCATTCTTGCCGACGGGCATCTTACCGTTTCGTCGCTGCTAGACCAAGGCTTGGAGTCTCGTGGTGACGATGTCAAAACTCGTCCCTACCTGGCATTCCTATCAGCCTGTCTGACGGGAGCAAACGACATTGACGAGCTCGCGGACGAAGGGATCCATCTTATCGCCGCGTTTCAGCTCATTGGTTTTAGTCATGTGATTGGTACGCTATGGCAGGTGGCTGATAGTGCTTGCGTGGATGTGAGTGTGGGTGTGTATCAGGGCTTGCATGATAGCAGTAGCCGTGGCAGTGGTGGTGATGGTATGAGCACACGGCCAGCACATGAGTCGGTCTGTCGTAGTTTGCATAGAACGCTGGTGAATCTCAGGGATGAGTGGCGGGTGGGTATTGAGAGTTCAATGTTGCCCACTCGCGAGGACGAAGATGAAAAGTCTGATGAGATTGTTGAGCTTCCCGGTGTTGGTATATCTGCATGCGGTGATGAAAGAAGACCGGTTACAGAAAGAAGTGTAACGAGTGAGGAGGAAGATGACAATGTAAAGAGATGGGCATCGCTGAAACTGGGAAAGAAAGTCAAGTCGCCGAGGAGACTTGTCAGGGCAGATTGGATCCCATATGTTCACTACGGCTCGTAGGAACGTCAGGTAATGTACGTAGCAATTTACTCAGTCCCCAGCTATTACTTTGGCCCCGGTCTTGACCACATTTCATGACCGGGATTCGGAAACAATCACTAAGCTTCAGTATATTCAAGTCCGGGTTTGGCACTTGGCACAAAATCCCTTGCAGAGATACTGATGGACTGTCGTGTACCACAGATAGTAAGCCCATCATCATCAGACAATCAAGGCCATATTGCGGCTTTAACGCCGAAAAGACTAGATCCAATAGGCGGTGAATTTGAGGGTGATATTACCAACTGGCTTGCTAGTTTTGGGTATACTAATGTATGCTTCCAATAAGAGGGGAATCTGTTGCTCAGTCAGACTTTGTTCAGCACAAGCAATTATTCCCGCTCATCCACGATCAGAGCAATGGCACGAACATGCCTGGTCTTACAGCCGCTTCAAGGCTTACATGTCAGCGGAAGGTGATCATCGTCCTTACGACGGCATCAGGCACGGATTCCACATTCAGTTGTGCCAAACCGGACGTAACTATCACAATGATAAAGCCGAATACAACCTTTCGGGATGTAGTCTATTTTAGTCTTTCCTGGTCCGCTGCTCCCTTGAAGAGTAAAGCATTGGAAAGGCGATGACTCCTGGAAATTACCCAGGTATAAAGACAATGTGTCCACCTGGGTTTTTGAGCAAACACCTCTTCACTCTCATCCTCCAGACATTCCAAGCATTTACTACAACTCGAGACTCACTCACAACCTTGTCACATAAGCACAACTTGCATACTCACCATGTATCCCAAAACCATCACCGCCTTCCTCCTCATGGCCGGGACCACCGTTGCCGTTTCTCTCCCTCACCAGACTACCAGCACCGTCAACCTCGGAACCATCCAATTCGCCGCCCCCTTCTGCGGCAACGCAAAACTCCACTCAATAAACACAACAGATTGCTTCACCGCGCTCTCGGGCATCCTGTCGTCCATCTGCACCACCGGGGTATGCTGGTTGCCGGCTGGCAACCCGCCCTTTACCGGGTCGCTCGTCACGCGCACGGTGGGCATGTGCGAGATCTTTATCGAGACCAACGTCGAGAGTGCCGTCGTCACCTTCTCGCAGGCGAGCGTGCAGGATGAATTTGACACGTTTATCCCCCAGTGCGTGGATCCGAGTAATCAGATCCATAATGGGAATCCGGTGGTTAGGTCGGTGGATGGGAGGTTCTCGCTGTTGTTCTCTAATGGGCTGGCTGTTGGGCCTGAATAAGGTTCAGAAATGCAGTGGGCATGAGAGAGAGAGGCGTTTGATAATTAGGCAAAATGGTAACTGGAGAGAGGGATTGATAAGAAGCAGCCGGTGGATGTTGTTTCAGCTGGACGGAAAATTTGTGTGTTGTAGGTGAGTCTTAGTTATTAAGGGATATTTGATAAGCAGCAAGCAAGGGGAAGTTTTCTTGAGCCAAACCAAAACATGCACGTCTTAAAATGTATAACAGGGGATGATATAAGGATGAGCAAAGTGAGCCATGAATCACCAAAGCCATATAAGGATCTAATCCTATAGCTCCCCCGAGCGTTCGTTAGTAGTAGACATCGCTGGATGGTCCTTGACCCTGACTGAGAATGATAAAACGGAAAAGGAAAGTCGACTTGTCAGGACGGAGAAACAAAAAAAGAAAGATCAGTTCCACATATCAGCGGATATCATCATATGATGATAATGGTTTCTTGACAAGAGTGGGATTCGAACCCACGCCCTTTCGGACCACGGAATTCTGACTCATGAGAGAGGGAGAATGATAATCAAGGTAATACCTTAACGTGGCGCCTTAGACCGCTCGGCCATCTTGCCTGGTGATTGATGCCGGTTGTGGGTCATAACTCGGCTTGTGGAGGGACCGGTGTGCATTGGACCACTGGGGGACGCTCCTTCTGCGTGTTTTTCGTTGTGCGAGTCAGACTTTGGGCAAGAGCGAAAGAGTTTGCGGTTGTGGAGTTTGGTGTGGATGAGGCGGCGGTGAGATAGGGCTGGAAGGTGCACTTGGTGGTTGCCGTGGCAGGGTCCACTTAGTGCGTCCCTTTGTTTACTTGAAAAGGGGCAGAGTCAAGTGGCAAGGTGTGAGATAATTGGTGTTCAATGCTGGGCTATATACGTGACGTACTAGATACAAAACCTACAAAGCACCGTAGGTCGTTAATGAAGGTAGTATTTTGCCTGGGAATTATATGACAATTTCCACCTCTCCTTTCCCCGCTCATTTTGACTGATCCCTTTTAACGTTACTATAGTTAATGACCTTCTAAGCGAGCAGGCCGAAGAACTTGAGCATGAGCTGCTCGTTGACTGGCGCAGTGTGTCCGACACCCTGTCCGAAGAAGCCCTGGAGTTGAGTGCCATCGCCATAGATCATCTGAGTGTACTGAGCAGAGGGGACACCGGTGACGTTGCGGGTGAGAGAGACGCCGAGGACGTTGCTCCACTGCTTGAGAGCCTCATAACCGCACTGAGGGCGGACAAGACCATCGGCGAGACCGTGGTAGATTTGCATGCGTGGGCGCTTGCCGGTGTAGCCGGGGTACGAGTTGCGGACAAAGTTGCCCCACTCCTGGGGGGTCTTGGTGAGACCCTGAGCACAGGTCTGGTTGGGCGAGAAGGGAGTAGCAGAGGGGGCGCCGGCGAAGCAGGCGTGGGCGGTTCCGGAGTAGGCGGCACCGGCCTCGAAGACATCGGGGTAAGAGCCCGCCATGACGTTGGTCATCATGCCGCCGGAGGAGGATCCCATGACGAAGATCTTGCTGCGGTCGGCCTTGTACTTGTCAACGGTGTAGTTGACCATGCTGATGATCCCGAGGGCATCACCACCCGCTCCGTGGGTCAAGCTGGCGGGGTTCTGAACGTCCCAGCAGTTGGACATGTTGGGAGTGCCGGGGTAGATCAGGATGAAGCCACCGGTGTTGGCGTACGAGGGAAGTTTGGTACCGCTGTACCATCCCGAAGCAGTGCCGCCGCAAGGGTGGAGCTAATTAGGAAAGAAGAATTGTCAGCATCCCCTTTGATTTCCATTTCTCAGTGAGTGATAACTTACAGCAACAATGATAGCCGGGTTGGCGGCCAGCTTGTCGGGGACATAGATGTACATCTGGATCTTGCTCGGGTTGTTGCCAAAGTTGGAGACCTGCTGGAGCGAGGCGCCGACGGCGAGAGTGGCCGAAGCGGCGAGGCCGAAAATGTTGGTGATAAGCATGATGGCGACGACGATGTGATGGTTCTATGAGTCCCTTTGGATTGTGTGTTCTGTGCTTGAAGGCTATTCCATGTTTCGTTTCGAGCGAGCACGGCGATATATATATTTACCTCGTCGCCAATCTCCCCCACACAGCCACAGAGCCGCCTCCTCCGCATTCATGTGAAACAGCATCCGCGCATAGTTTCCGATGTCGTGGAAGAATTGCGTCTAGATTGGATGACGAGGGCCCTCCAAACGAGTCCAGGTCGGCGGCTGCGCTAGGCAATGAGAATCGGCAAGTGTATAGTGGGAAAAGCACGAGCCATGTGTCCCAAGAGGCAGAGCAGAGATCGGACTTCATCAAGGTTATTTCCTCATTGGGCGTTGTGACATGCGGCTAAGACTGCGGATAAATTTCCCTTCCAGGTACGCGAAGTAACAATCTCCTTCCCCGTCTGTGAGACTGTGCCGACCGTTGGAGATCCGGCCCTGTGGGGAAGCCAGCCCCAAGGTCGGTTGCATGACTTATCCTAGCCCGGACCAGAACGGAGAGCGTAAATAACCTGGTTCATTTGCCCGTCAGGTTGAACTCGATCAACCGCGTTCGGCACCCGGGGTCGGCATCTGCCACATGGGAATGCCCTCAGCTCGGGGCCTATTCAATTGCAGATCACGGCGCCCGCGGTCCTTCACCTCCGTTGTTGTGTAGCGTTGATCGCTCCTATCCCGGAGATCTTGACGTCGCTGATTTTTCTGGTTCCCTTTTTCTCGTCTTGTGCATTCCCACTATTCACTGTTGTCGATGTTGCCATTCACCCCAGTTTCCTTGGCGTCGAGTGCGACGCAAGACGGACCTTGACTTCTCTTGTAGAAGGTGACTAGCGCCATGACCTGTCAAGTGTAGGTGAACATCATTCTAGACTTATCACGAGCAAGATAGTCTTTTCTTGCCTTGATCTTGTCAAGATTGGACCTAGTGATGTTTACCATGTGTTGTTTTGTTATCTTGAAAGTTGAAGATGGCCGCAGACGCCCAGACAATCTGTTGAACAGTTGCAGGGGTCAGGGGGCGGTTAAGCGACAAGAAAAGAGATCTTAACCGCCGTGTGTGGCATTCTAAACCACTACCGAAAGCACATGGCATCCACCTGCCTAAACAACTGGCGTGGAAAGTTTTGAAAGGATTGGACAAAAAGTCTCGATATAAACGTTTCTCTGCCTTGATTCATGGCACTGGGCGTGGACAGAAACGCGGTACTCTGGTTGTGTCAACAAAGAATTAGACGGACAAAAGTGACCATCAACAAGTTGTCATTCATGTAACAATCTTGCACCAATCAGGGCGAAGCTCATCCTGGAGTTAATCAACATTCACCCTTGCCAACGTCCCCACCATGTAGACATGTATATACCCAAGGACCCCCAAGAAAGTACGGCATCTGAGCATGGGAGTTGTGAATGTGTGTTTGAGCTTCACCAGACTGAAGTTTTTGTTTCCTACTGCTGGGCCAATTCATAGCCCCTCACGATGCATGCTACATGCCTGGCTAATTTAATTTCTCGCCCCTCATCAGGCACGTTTCCTGCAGTTGTTTCTTGCTCACAGGTGTGCCGATGTTTCCGAAATAAGCGAAAATATCATGATAATTTCATCTAGGATACTCTGTACAATGTACATAATCATTGTTGTGTTGCACTCAGGAATTGGGACTGGTGTGAAATAATGAGATGATGAAACTGAGATCATATATCTCATGGTCCAATGCTCAGCAACTCATACAGAAATACCACAGCTCTCAGCATATCATTTTCTTCTGATCATCGATGAGAAGGGAAAGCATGAGGACTTACCCGTTCTGCAAGGCAGGGTGCTACTAGAGTCTGCTCTGTCCAATCTCTGCAAGAGAGGCTTCCCTCAGTCAATGATGCAGCACTAAGAGGGATATGCGGCGTATTCTTGGTGAGGTGGGTTAAGATATGATATGCTGAACCTGGTTTGACTAAAAGATGGCCGCTGAGTTTGAAGAGTCTTGTGGGTATTCAGATTGAATGAGCTAGAGTCAACAGGATTGAAGACAAAAGGCAGACGATTCAATCTTGTCTGGATACAGGAGCAACTTGAGCTTTTCACGGGGCTCCTTCCCTGCATAGTCTGAATGGGAAGCCATGACGTCGAAGCATGCCGGAGCATACCACGGCAGGAGCTCTTGTCAACCACGTGCATACCAGACCGCCTCACGCATTCGGAGGCTCGGAGAGATTCCAACTGGACAAGGAAACCTGGTCTAGCCTGAAAATGAAAAAGAGCGGATCCTCAGCCCTTTTCAAATATGATGTATATTAAATCCCCCTTCATCTTCAGCTGCAGGTGCAGGTGCGAGTGTGAGAGGCGGAGGATCTACTCCGGGGAAATGCCGAGTTATTTCTCATTTCGTCTCCGTACCTTTTTCCTTCTTGTGCAGTTTATTTTAGTTTTGGTTTGAAGATAATCATTTCGCCGAGGTCAGTGAGCACTCAAAGCCTTTGGTCCAAATCTCAGACATGCATCCCAGCCATGCTAGGAAATCTGCTTGTGAGATGAGCCAACGAGCCCTGAAACTCAACCAACGCTTGCCGTTGGTAGAATAGCATTTCAGGAATCCTTGGAGATCTTAGCCCGCCGCGAGGTCCCATCTCCTGGCCCATGGAGGAAGCTGTTATTGAGACGTTAGTTTTGTTAGGCCGGCATCACCCCCCAGTTTCACCCTAGTCAATCTGTGTGACCTCAGGAATTGACTTACAATCCCACACAGGTTCCCTCTCATGGCTCCGGTCAAACTCATCAAACTCGTCTAGCTCAGACAAGTCCGTAAATTCCATACAGCTGGAAACGAAGGCTGTATCATCGAGAAGTGTTGGTGTTTCTGTCTCCAGTTCGAGAACCACTAATGTGTGATTGCCATCCTACGCCAGAGAAGTGAAGACAGGAAGAGGAGGAACTGTTATGGTCACATGGTATGGTTCATTCCTGGACGGAACAAGTAAGATGTCGTCATTGCTTTAGGAAGGAGCAATTGATGGTTGTTGCCCAACCGTGATGCCAAGGCCAGCTCGGTGTGGTGATTTGATCGGTGTGGTCCGTCTCGAGATGGAAGGAGTGTTAATGTTCTTGCCCCACCACGCTGTTTTGTTAGCTCCATGGTCAATGGGCATGGCAGGTACTTGTACTTTGCCCGCTGTGCTGTCCAACAGTTCATTCCATGTGACAACTTCTTGCAATCCAGCTCCGAATATCAGCTATCCTATTTCCGAAATCCTGTAATGGTCTCCTCTTTTGTTTTCATCTGCATCAAGTGATGCTGACGAACTTACAGTTGGGCTGCCAGCTGAGTCTCAAGACATGATGACAGTGAACCCCAGCCTATGCACCTCTGTCCGGGGTGTTCTTCCTCTCCTCGTAAGTGTTGCCGTCCCGGCCACGGATCCGGTTGGATTGGAGTCCTCAATAAGCCACAGCAGGCTATGGTGGAGTTTGCAGGCATCCGCGTTTCGATGCCAGGACCGGGAGAGACCAGACGAGAGCCGGCCACCGACAGCCGAAGATGGCCCACTCGGGCTTTGAGCGAACTGTGGGGCAAAGACAGGC